GACATTTCTATCTTTTTGTTCCTTTCATCTTATCTTCTGCCACCTTATCTTTGGAACATTTCTCACAAAAAATTAACTTTTAAAACAAATAAAAAAGACAAAAGAAAAGAAGAATTGGCTAAAATCCTCGGAAAGACAATATCTTTCATTAATTTAATTGCTTGTTAGATGGGAAATTAGCTTTATAATTGTTATGAATTTTAATAATTTCTATCGAAATATCCATGCACGAATATAATTCACACTGAAATTTAAAATTAAGCAATTAATAAAATGAGAAAGTAATTAATTAAATAATGGAAATAAAAATATTGCCATTAATGCTGTTTTAGGTATATATAAATAGAACAATAATTATTTTCATTCATTAATGATATTTGCTATTTGCGCATTTCTCATTTCGTTTTCATTGGGTTATCTTTGCATTAAAGTAAATTGCTTTTGTGTTACCATTTCAATTGATTCATTTTATTTCATTTCTTTTTCTTTTCTTTGTTTTAAAAAGCCAAAAGAACTATTTCAAATAATGAGTTAGTTACTTATAATTATTACTTTGTTTTAACATTTATAAGTTTATAATATCTTTTGCTTTGATAGAATTGTTCAACATTTCATGTTGGACAACTTGTGTTTTTATTCTTAAATTTTATTCATTTATATTTTTTAAATTCTGGTTTCGAGCAAAATTCCACGAGAAAGAATGGGAAAGAGAGGAGGGAGAGAGAGAAAAAGAGGAAATATCTGATATCAAATTTATCAATTCATATGAAAATTATTATTTCTTTTCTTTCAAATATTATTTATTAATTATTATTATTATTTTATATGAATGAAATTTTATTAAAATAATTATTTATGTCTAAAATTTCAACTTAATATTTCTGTTTATTAAAACGAAAAGCGAAAAACGAAAGATGAAATGTTAATTAGAAGAGAAGGAAGAGAAAGAAATTGCAATAATATGAATAATTTCAAATAATCCCTCAAACAAATAAAATCAATTTTATCATACAAACAAATTCAGTAAACATATTTATTTATTATCACTTAATCATCTCTTTTTTTTTCACCTTTTTAACCTTTTGATTAATTTCATTTGATTAGTCATCGCCATAAAACAAAACAAAAGGAAATTTCTCAATGATTTGCTGACTGGCTGGCTGGCTGGCTGGCTGTCTGGTTGACTGGCTGGCTGGCTGGCTGGCTGTCTGGTTGGCTGGCTGGCTGGCTGGTTGGTACCTTTATGTTGTCTATTTTAAAAATGTACAGATTACTTTTGAATTTCATTTAAAAAGTAAAAGAATTTCATTCGAAAAAATACAAATTAATTTTATTTATTTAATTCTTTCATTCATTCATAAATTCTTTTTTGCTTTCTTTCTTTCTTATTTCTCTCATAAATCATTCGCTTTTTCCTTTTTTATTCATCCTTAAATTGCAGCATTTTATGCCTTTCTTTTTTGAATTTTAAACAATCAAACAAATTTCGTTCATTTTTGAAAGCCTAATATTAACCTTTGATAAATTTTCTTTATATTTATAAAATGGGGAATGAATATAAGTGGAAAAGATGGAAATGAATGATCTTTAATTCGTTTAAAAATTTTAATAATAATAAATAAGTCTGATACAGCAATAGCAATCTTCAAGGATAGATGGGGTTGCGCGCGGTCAACTTACAGCGAACATAAAAATGGAAGTGGAAGTGACGATTGGAAATATAATCCTTTAATCAATATTTAGAAATTTATTTTTTGAAATAATAATTTTGAGACATTCAAACGTGACAAGTGGAGCATTACAAAATTGTTGTAATTTTAGAAACAGCCAACCAATTAGACAGCGTATTAAAATCTGAAATTGAAAAGTTTTTCACTCAATTAGTAAAATTAAAATTTAGTTTTCATCGTAATTCAGAATGGTTGAAAGATTCTAAGAATCGAATGAATAATTAAACGATATATGCAAACCGGTACTAATTTTATTTTGTTGCAGTATGAAAAAAAACGAAAGGAAAGAGGAAATATACGAAAAACCTGAAAATAAAGACCTGAAATATCTATTATTAATACACCATTACTTTGTATTAGTATACCAAAAACAATGAATTTATAATTAAATGTTAAAATTTAACTTATAATACTATTTTACGCATAAAATAATTTGCTAATATCTTTGTTTTTAATTTACAAAAATTTCTGGGAAATTATATTTAGTAATTTAGTTACTATAACAATTATTTTCTACCTGAATAATGGTAAGAGATTTTTGAAAAACTTCAGAAAAGAATTTCGTCAATTTTTTTTTCGCCTAATAAATTCTTCTGTATTGTTTCTATCAAATATAATCCAATATTTTATATAAATGTTTGCCTATGAAAAACTTAATTGGTCTTTTGTTTCTGTGAAGAGAGATGATAATGAAATGATAAGAAAAGACAAGGAAAGATAATGAAATGAAGTTGAGAGAGTTGAAGTGAATTTAAGTTGAGTGAATTTAATATTCTGTCTGCTAGTTCTATTTTAATACCAACTTATTTCCATTAATTTTTGCTCTTTGCTTTTCTATTCTTTTAAAAAAAGGCTTTCTGAATGATATTATTTAAGGGAGTGTTCAATGCTGTCACTTATATTATTGTATGTTAAGCTTCTTTAGGATACTTTGTTTAATAATTTTAATTTCCAACTAAATTTAAAAAAGCAAGTATTCCATTAAATACAAAGTGAAATTCGCAAAAATTCTTATAGAAGTGTAGTACTTGCCATTTTATTAAACTTTTATTATTTTGTTAAAACTTACAGTAAGATAATTGAATAATAATAATTCGCAGACTTCCGGATTCAATATCGCGGTATGATAAATTCTTATCACTCACTCATCCATGCATTCATTAAATTTATTTCGATTCAATTCACGGATATGAGATATAATCATTATTGTTTAATACATTTGTCAATTGATATTTTTAACAAATAGATTTTTAATCAATGATTCAATAAAAATTTGCAAAATGATGAATTATATGAGATTCAAACAATTAATCTTTCGGTGCAATTATTTTATCGGTTGTAATAGAAATATATTGTCACCCAAATATGGACGAAAATTTTGTCGCCGATATTGTACCTATAGGTATTTTTGCCGCATCTATAAAATGTATGAGTTATTTGTATGTAAAAATTATTTTAACCTTTTGTTTCTATATGTTCAATTAAAATTTTTACATCACTTTTTAGAATGTTCAATCACAAATAGATCAAATTTGTATAATTTAATGAATGATAGAAATGATATAATTAGGAATATCAGGAATGGAACCAGAAAATAACCATTGTCAACTTCAGATGATTTACCTGTTGTAACTTTGCTATTAATCCCAAAACAATATCTATCTTATTTGTTTCTCGCGAAATAACTTAGCAATATCAGAGCTTAGTAAGATTAGTTTCTAGAAAGCTATCGGTTTGATGAAAGTAAGCTGACGCATATTGATCATCTACTATTATGGAATTTGTGATCCGTATTATTAGCAGTTTAGCTAATACAGCAATTAATAAGGAATAAAACTATATATATTATACATTTCTATTGCTTACAGCCGGAAAGTGCTTTAGTTTGAATATAATATCATAGTAATCCGGTACTTACTGCAACATTATTTTAAAAGATTTTAGTAAAACAAGTCAGACGTGATTTAAAGGAAAAAGATGATATAAAAATGTTATTGTCCATATCCGAAATAACCGAATCAATTAACTACAGGAAATTATCAAATTTGACTATTTTTGGAAACGATAGCTCCGAAATTAAAAATAGTAAGCCTTAATTTTTATTTTATTAAAAATAGTGATATTATCCGGAAAAATAGCCGTGTTCATTAACAACAATTGTTGAATAATATCGAAATATGGGTAAATATAAAGAAGTGGAAAAAATACGATATATATGAATAGATTATCTTCATCGATTATTAAATGCAGTTATAACTTTCACTTCCTACTTCGATGATAATTGTTGAAATTTTACAACAAAATAATAATTATACAAGATGAATGAAAAGTATAGAAAATTCAATTGAAGTAGAAACAAGCCTTCTCTCTTACCCTTTCTCATCTTATCTGTGGAACAGTTTAATAATTCTGCACTCCGGATGAAATAGTGCAATATCTGAAACGATATAATATGTGGTTTTTGAATAGTTGAAAATGCCATTATTCAGGTTACCTTTTTCCGATTTTTAATGAAACATTGGTTTATTTGAATTGCATAAATAGCACACAAAATTGAATTTCAATTGGATAAAATTTAATTCAATCTTACTAAATTCAGATTATAAGTCATATAAGAAAAACACTTTCCTCATTTTTTGATTTATTAACTTGCAAAATGTCATTTTTTAAATATTTAATTTCGATTCCAATAATTAATTAGTAGTGGTTGCTATTAATAAAAGAGCAATGAATTGACAGATTAAATTCAAGAAATGATCAAATCAGATCAATAAAATCTGAGGGGAGTAATCAATAATCTTAAAATTTCTTAGTTAAAGTTTAATATTTAAATTTCTTCTTTAATGAAAAGTAATTATGATTATGAATACTATTTTCTTCCTTATGTCTATATGACGGTAGATTCGATAATAATTTTAATTTCATCAATTTTAGCAGATGATGTAATTGCATTTTACGATTCCCGACATATCTCCAATCATATAGACGATGTGACGACCACTGTATTAATTGCTATTAGTGGTTTTGCTATTATGACTGCATTCGCCATTGGTATCAATTAAAATTTATGATTACAACAAAATTTCTCCAATTATCAAAGACTACAAAATTTACAAAACTTTTGAAATTTACAAAAAAAATGCACTCCCATCGCTGATAATTTTTATTCAAAAATAATTCATACATTGTATTTTTTATTTTGGAAAAAATTTAGATTTCTCTTTGAAAATTAAGTATTTTCTCCTTTTCATTAAAAAGAAATTGTTAGCAATGGCATCAGCTATCTATCGCCGTCGAAGGAAGCTTTGTGTATCAACAAAAGCATATCGTCAACCGAAAAGTTCATTTTTTGCAACAGAGACGGAACCCCGTACCTGGGATAGTCTATCATTCAGTTGTGCTGCTGCTGATTTTTCAAAATCAAAAATGCAAGTAAGTTCAAAATTTTGTTGTTGCTTACTCATACTATTATTATTATTATTAATTATTATTTCAATCTCTATTCCATGGCTTGAGCAAAAAGTTTTGCGAAATTCAGATCGAAGAATGCAACCGTATTACCTCTCACATTTATATATGTTGCAGTTCCGTTCATTGGAATCATTATCTGATGATTCATATATCAACAGTTTGGATGAAGCAATCAGTTATAAAGCATCAATTGTACACAAAAAATCACTAAAGGATATATCGCCAAAATCTGTTGCTAATACATCCATTTCAGAGCTTTCTATTAATGGCCACTGAAATAGTTTTTTTATGATTTAAGATTTCTTTTTTCAAACTTTATACAGAAGTTAGCATCTTTGTTAAGAAAGGAAAATTTTAGTAATAAATCATAGTATTTCAATAATTCGTTCCCATAATTATTTCTGTAAAAAAAATTGTTTTTATTGTTGCATATTTTTGAGCAAAGTTTTCTTTCTCTTTCAAACAAATGAGGGAAAAAATATTTGTGAGAAATTTGTGCGCCGCTGTATGCATTAGTGAATCTGCCGAAATTCTGCTTCGTTGAAATTGGGAGCAAATGAAATTAGAAGCATCCACATGAACAATAGTAGCATTGTCTGTATCTCTTATATCAGCATTTTTTAAAATTAATCTTGATATTTTCAAAAACATTTGAAAGCCTGACATATCTGCATATTCTCGTTTAATTGCAAGAATTAGGAACAATGACGTAGACATGAAATAAATGAAACAGAGCTGTAATCTAACTTTTAGGTTCAGTTTTGAATCTTCCGTCCAGTTTCTGTACAATGCTCTTTGAAAGAAAAGGGTACAGTTGTCAAACAGCAACAAGAATAACCTAAAGTTATCTGACTGATCTTATTAGAACGTTCCATTTCCCATAGGTTACACATTTACGATAATGATTGACTCAATAAACTGTCTATCTTTAATCCTAGGTTAAAAAAACTCGTAAATGAATTACAGTATAATACAGTGCAAAATAATTCACTCGACATTCGTCAATTTACATCTTTCGCTAAATAGTCCAGTACTATTTGGAGAAAAAATGCTTTATCGAAGTTGCGCCACATCAAAGTGACGTGATTTCCTGTGAATTGTTGATATTCTCAAAGAGTGGTTAGCTTTATCGAAACTACTTAACAAATTTCGATGTCTAAAAACCACTGCACACTATTCATATAATAATTCTGGTTTGATACATCCCAACCGCTCTACACCTAAATAAATTCTGAACAAAATTAAACTAAACATATCGATAAATACTCCAGAAGAACGTTTAAGAAAATGTTACATTTTCTATTTTTTATTAATGACGCCCTTTTAATTGAAAACCAGGAAGCAGTCCAGAAGTGTTCGATCGTGTCTTTTTTTCTTCTTCAATTTCATCCAAATATGGCTTAAGGTACCATGTTTCCTAAAATACAATAAACCGGCAATTCTGTGAAAACGCGTTGACCAAGTAAATATACGCGAAGATAAAATATATAGCAGATTCCATTCTTCCATTCAAATCTGCGACAGTTGAGAAAGATTACATATAAAAATAAGAAGAGCATGAAACAACAAAATCCTGCCATTCGTCACCGAATAATAGAATAGACTTACATCTTCCCATTTCGTCCACTTTTCTTTTGGTAATTGTTCACCATGGGATTTCATCGAATGAGCATGATAAAGTCGTATTTTGCGTTCATCAAAAAGCCATGGTTCTTTCAAGTTCAAACGATGTAGTGCCTCCTTCACTTCTGGAGCAGGCTCAAAACATTGATCGTGAAATAGCAGACCTAAAATTTCAGGGCGTCACAACAAGCTACAAAATTTTAACTCATTTTGATTTCTAATAAATTTAATATTTTCAAATTCTGCGCATAAGGTCCTTTAAAAAAATACAAATAAACAATTTCCGGCCTTTCCCAAATTAAAACAACGATTATGTGTTAAAACTATTTGAGGAATTAAAGAAAGAAAAAGAACCATATCGTCTCCCGCTCCAGCCATATGACCATAAAAAATACCGCAACATTTGTGCCCATTTTCCTGTAACAGACATCATTTGTAACCATGCTAGATAGAAAATGCAAATGAACTGTTATAAGCTGATGATATGTGATAAAGTGCAATTTCACAAAATAAAATCTTCCAGCAAATCAATAGAATGATCCTGGTGCTATATACAAACATTAAAATGAACTAATGCAATATAAATCCATGTAATTTAAAATTCCTGTTCCTGCATCTAATACCGTTCAGAACTACTCAACAATGAACAAAATAAATTTGATAGCATAAAAATACCGTTATAAGTAAATTTGACGTTTTTAGAAGCTGGTGAGACCTTTTCCCAATGAGCTAGCAATGAGGATTGTGAGAGAGCAACCTGAAAAATTGTCAGATCAGGCTGATAGAAAATGTCATATCAGATAACACTTAAATGATTAAAGGAATTGAATTTCCTATTCTTGTCAAATATAACTTTCAATAACTTGTAGTGACCACATTCAGACTTTTTACTACTACCAGTAAATGAATGAAGCATGGTTTTAACAATAATCATATGTCCCAAATCATTTTCAGTACCACCAACGACTGACATAGTTTGTGAAAGAAAAATAAATTGATAATAATCAGCAAACAAGGAAATAAATAAATCTGAATTATAATAAAGGGGCCAAATCTTTTCATTGCGGTACTAATTTTTGACACCTATTATGCATTGTTGATATTTTTTGATAAACAAAACTAATAGCTAATAACCACAAAAATCCACAAAAAAACAATAACCTTCGTTAAAAATGTTGTGCGAACCATTTGTTCAACGTCTATTTCAAACGATAATGATGTATGATTGTGGATTGTTCCGAAATGTCAATTTATGCTGAGATGACTAGAAAAAAATGCTGCTATTAGCGGAATGAAAAAAGCGCTAAACAAAATTACACAAGCTAAATTCTTTTCCATCCGATACTCTTGAATGAACCTTCCCACATTCCACTTTAATTTAACATAACCTAAATACACCAAACCGTAAATTCACCCGAGTCCGAACTTCTTTTATTCCATTATTTACGTACACATACATCCCTATAAAAAAACTTCATCCAATTTTGCCCTAGTCATACACAAATAATCCTACGACAAAGGGAGACTAAAAGTGATAATGAAAGCTGTTTGTTTATGTTCACTTCATAAAGGATTATTTATTATTTACCAAGTAAAATTTCCGCATTACTGAACATTTATAACAAAACAATAAGCAGTAGCTCACAGACCAACCACACCTAACGTGTATAAGCAAACAATTACAACACTGCCGGTAAAACCAAACCAATCTATCAATTCCCGCTTTGTTACTCTGACTGGATCCATAAGCGTATAAAATATACTTCCGGTAAAAAAAATAAAATAGAACTCAGCCTATTCGACAATGGCTTAATGTTTACACCAGACGAAAATGCAAAAGCCACGCTTACCATAACATTGCAGGTGAAAGTTATCTGGAATCTCCCGCTTCATAGTATATGATATGAAATAAGCTTGTCTGGTATTTCACTATTGGCCGATGCCATTTGGCGAACTAATTGTGTATTTCAGGCTTGCGTTCATTTTTTGGTTGGGAAGTATTTTAAATTCTTTCGCATAATTTTTCTGCTAGTTGTCGATAAGAATAATGCTTAATTGCAAATGTCTTTATTAACAGTATGAAAATCATGTTTTATCGGTACTATCAAGTAATTGTTTATACTCTCCCTGGTGGTATAAATATCCTATTAGTTACTGCTCCAAGAACTAAATTTGATATTATCATTTACGTAGACAGATTTTTTGAAAATTTTTTGATCATTCTTTTTTGTTTTTCAGTTTCTAATTTAATTCTTCCATTTTAACGAAGAATGTCAAAAAAAGATCGCCGCCGGGTATTTTTCGATGTAACAATTGATGGTAACCTCGCAGGTCGCATTGTGATGGAGTTGTACAATGACATAGCACCACGGACATGTAATAATTTCCTGATGCTTTGTACTGGTATGGCTGGAAGCGGTAAGATTAGTGGCAAACCTTTGCACTATAAAGGATCAACGTTTCATCGTGTTATCAAGAATTTCATGATTCAGGTAAAAATTTGTGAGTAGTATAGCAAAAGCTGATTTGATTGCAATTGCTATTGTTTCGTGTGTTTATTAGGTTGCAAAAAAAGATATGTTGTAATAAATTAGGAATATTCTATTAGAAATGATGGCAACATACAATGAAAGAAATTTAATATTAAAATTAGATGGATGCAACTTTGCTTTTTCAGGGAGGTGATTTTACGAAAGGTGACGGAACCGGAGGGGAATCGATTTATGGTGGTATGTTCGATGATGAAGAATTTGTCATGAAGCATGATGAACCGTTTGTTGTGTCGATGGCAAATAAAGGACCTAATACGAATGGTTCACAATTTTTCATTACTACAACACCTGCACCACATCTCAATAATATCCATGTGGTATTTGGTAAGGTTAGTAACTTAAGATGTTCAGAATTGAAATCAGCGATCTATTTATTTATTTGCTGTTTTCCATGTGCGTCACTGCACATAAAAGTTTTTTGGGGATCGGTGAGATTCGAAATTCGGCTATAACCATAAATAAAATCTCTATAGTTCCAGTATATCTGAACTTATTTTCATCTTGCTGTCTTATGGTGGTTATTAAAATCTGTAGCTTTGTTTATTATCTCCATCGACAAAGGTTGAGTTAATCTGTGATTTAGAGCATAAAAAAATCGTTTGTTTTTCCTTTTATATTTGCAAGAAAGCGATGAAATAGTCAGGAATAAATTAAAGAAACCATTTATAGGTTGTAACCGGACAGGATGTTGTAACCAAAATCGAATATTTAAAAACTAATTCCAAGAATCGCCCATTAGCTGATGTTGTAATACTTAACTGCGGTGAACTCGTTCGGCGGAAAAAACAGCGGCATTCTTCTAGATCGAGTGAATCGGGCAGGTAATGAAGGATTCAGTATAGTCGACTGAATAATCAACTGCTTATGCTGGAGATGTTTTCTATTTCTTAGTGGATTTCTACTGAACTTAATTTGTTTTTGAATCTAAAATGAAACCTAACCTTTCAATCTATTTTTGCTTGAAATATTTCGTTTTTCTTTTTTTTGTCTTTATTCTCGATGTGGTATATTGATTTTTAGTTCTGCATCGACTGAAAAAAGTCAAAAGAAGACAAAAAAGGCAAAAATGAAAGAGAAGCGGAAAGAGAGCGATGAGGTGGAACATTTAGAAATTGGTACTGCAGTTCCGGAAGCAGAATTACAGCTGTCGAGTGTAAAGCCGGAAGATTTGCCTGAAGAACCGGAGCACCAAAATAAGTATCTTATGAGACGGTGAATGCTTACGCATTATTTGAGAATGAGATTTTCAGTCTTCCTTTTTTAATTTTTTATTACATCACAAAATAATTTTTCTTCCAAAGATTTTAATTTTTTTAGATCAAAAACACCGGAAAATTCGAAGAAAGAAAAGCGAGAGAAACCACGACAATCACCTCAGCGTTATTCGCGACGCGATATTGGTCAACGTTTGAATCGTATGCGGAGAACACGAACTGGACACAAAATAAAGGTGGTATCACTGTATAATCATTGTTCAGATAATTCTTATTGAGTTGGTTAATTTGAAATTTTCCGTTTTACCAATTTATGCCATTTAGAGTCGAGAATATTTCATTCCTTTTACCGAAACAGAATATTTTCAAATTTTCATGTTGTAGGGCTTTTTGTAATTTTTATCAGCGTCTAGCTTAAATTGTCTTGTGCAATAGCTTGAGATATCGCACTCGTTCAGGGACGCGGCGCACTTCGATTTCGAACTCCAGAAGGCAGTAGTGATCATGATGGAAGTCGTACGCCTCCTCATTGGAGACGTGAACAGGTCATTTTAAAATTCCATAACTTTTTGTTCAGTGTGGATTAATTATTTCATTGTTATCATAAAGAAGTGAATTTCTACTTTTGATCATTGTTTGTATTTTATGAAACGCGTAGTTTTAAGTCCTAAGCATCACTTCACATTTTATGGAACAGTGCGTCTTGAGATACTGGGATGTTTATGTTCGATACATCAGCATTACTGTGATGGTACAATTACGGAATGAAAAATCTTTACAAGTGATTTTTTTTGCTTTTAGAATCGTGTAATAACACTTGACGAATTGCATCGTTTGCAAGAGAAAAGGAAGGCATATGAGCTTGAAGAGCTTGAGAATCCGAAAAACTATGCCAGCGATAAAGGAAAAACTGACGTTTTATTAAATATATCTAAGAAGACTGAAAACAAGGAGGAAAGATATCGTGGTAGGTCGGAAAAGAGGGAAAATCGGCATGAGCGAAGTAAACATACAACGGTAAGTTTTGGAATTTAGTACTAAGTTCATTTCTTTAAAAAAATTCAGCGCAATAACTTGTACAATAAAATGTTTGACTTCATTTGCCATTGGTGGTTGAGTTTTTTAACACAGATAAAAATTTATGGAGAGATGAGTAGACAATAAAATAGAAATACTTGTTTCACGAAGTAAGGTCTTGCGAATTGCCTTTTTCAGCGACGGTCACCGGAGCATATAACACGACATTTTACTAGGGAAAAGCTTCGCCGTAAAATTGATGAGACCGGGGATAGTGAAGATGTGAAACGAATAAAAAAAGATCGACGAGAACGAGCCGTTGAAAAAGAGAAAATTGAGGTTATAAGTTCTAAGGTTCTTTAAGATTGATGCTACTAATGCTTGAAGTTCACAGAGTTATAATAGTAAATGACATTTCGGTGTTCGAATCGCCGCAACTGAAGACCGCAGAATAAAACAGAGAACCTGATCGGGGCTTGGAAGGAGAGGAGCGCGTCATCTCTCAGTGGGTCTAGTCAGTGGAGGCTTGAATTTTAATTGTATATATTAAAAAATTGTATAAATTTAGAATGGTGAAAAAGTTGCTGCAGCAGATGAATTAAATTTGGATGAGCCAACAGTGGAAGTTATATTGGATAGCGCCGAAGACATTAGGGACAGTGATGATGAAGCCATCAGGGTCCATTTATTAAAGGCAAAAGAAAGAGCAGAAGAGAAAGCGAAACATGGTAGGTTTAATGGCTTCAATATTCACTTGTAAATGAGGCAAAAGCGAAACTGATTATACATTGTAATGAATATTTTTTGCAAAGATAAGGTTTCATATTTGGCATCCAGAAAGCAGCTATCCTCTTGCTTCCTTCATTCTAATGGCCTGATTATCTGATCCTAGTTTCTTTTCAACATTTCATTTACTCAGTAAGAATTGAACTGCATTTGTTTTTTTCTTTGCGCATTGTATGGAGAGCAAAAAGTATATTAAGGTGGTGATTAAGTTTGATTTTTTGCTCTTTTGCAGAAGCGAAGATGATTGAAAAGATTGGTGATAGTAATGAGCGAGATCAAAAGACAACTTCTGAAGAAAAACAAAAGAATAGTGCCGAAAGGAGTGTACAGCATCTAGAGCACAAAGGTGATGAGCATGAAAAAAGAACTGCCGATGGACAGGACAAGAATCAAATTGCAGAAGCAGAAACGGGGGGTAAACGACATCAACGGAAAAGCGATAGCAAGGATCACAAAGGAAAGACAGAACATATCAGTCGGAGCATCGAGGAAAGTGGAAGACGGAGTACTAGTCAAGAAAAACTGGACGATTTGAAACGAAAGGAAATTTCAGGCCAAAAAAGTCAAACTGAATGTGAGCGAATTACGGAAACACAAACAAGTCAAAGCGATTCCAATAAGAGTGATAATGTGAAGGTGTCAATAAATGGAAAGTTACAGGAAGTTCCAACTAATAAGGAGAATGAAGAAGTTTCAGAGCAGAGAAGTTTAAAAGCGGAATCATCGAAATCAGAAGAAAGTAAACAGCAGACAAGTGAATCATCTAGAAAACGAAAGAGTGGTGAAAAGTTGAAGGAAGTTAAACGGAGTGAGAGAAGTTCTAGTCGAAAACGCCGAAGCAGAAGTAATATCCGTAGGCGAAGAAGTTCGAGTCGTCGTTCAAAGTCGCGTGATCGGCGTCTTAGGTAATCTTTTTTTTTTGTGTCGCACTAGTTATTTATAATAAGTTCTAAAGAGTATAAGGCCTTCAACAGCAAAAAATCAGAATTCAGTGATTTGAGGTCGCGATCACAATCGAGAGGTCACGTTCGTCGGTTTGAAGGATGGTCGCGCTCTCGTCGGCCAACTAGACGAGAATTGTACGATGAACGCATGCGTCGAGAGCGTGAACGTCGTCGAAGCTTCGATAAATATTCGGATAGAAGACGTACTAGAAGTCGAAGTGCTCGACGGGACAGTAATCTGGTTCAGTGTTTAATTTATCTTAAAGAAATGAGATGGCATTTGATTTTTGCATCACGAATAAGTGGCGAAATCTTATGGTTAGGAAAAAATGGATGATGCATTACCCTAGTACATAATCTTAATATTATGCTAATCAAGATTATGTACTGGGGCAATGCATCATTCACTTTTTTAAGAGCGATATTTTATTCTCTTATGTAATTATGGGTATCTTACCATCTCTACGAATAGACAAAAATTGCTTCAGTGCTATAGAGGATACATCTCAACATACTAGTGCAAATGGAGTTGAAGTTCACCATCACATCCTCACAGCAATAAAGATGTGATGGATGAACTTCTTCCACTCTTGTTTACTTGTTTAAGCTACAATTTTAGTACTCGAGACATAGCCGAAAACGTACACCATCTTCTTCAAGTAGTAGCAGTCACAGTTCGTCAAGCGATTCTCGGAGCAGTGCTAGCAGCAGGTTAAGTTTTTTGCTCTCTCCTCAGAGATTTAAAAAAAAAACTATTCGATGGCTGATGAGAAGAGGATTTGATGATGCATCAAAATTATTTTAAAAATGAGAAATTTAAAACAGAAACTCCATTGTAGCAGTTCGTACACTATCTTATCACTTTTCATGAAACAGGTTCTGTTTTAAATCCACTTCTCATTTTTAAAATAATTTCAGTGCATCATTAAAACGAACAGTTCAGATACAAGCAGTTCTCAGAGCAAAAGCTCCGACTAGTTGATTTGGTGGGATGAAACTTCTTCAGAAGAAAATAGATTAGAAATGGGTGATAAATAAAATGTAAGCAAAGAAAGAGAGGACAAACTATCAGGGAATTATTAAAAATTAAAATGAGCTTTCCTAGTGCTTTTGTGGAATTTCCAATACCTGACATATCAGGAGCCTGTAAGAGTTGAGTTAATTGATTTTATTTTCTGATGTTATAAAACTGTCGCTTTAATCAGTGGTTATGGACGATTAAAATGCGTAGCTTTATATAGTAGTATGAGATGTAGCAACTCGTGTACTATCACATCACTTTCCATGAAACGGATTCTGTTTTAAATTTTCTCATTTTTAAAATAATTTCAGCGCATCATCAAAACGTTCGAGCAGTTCAGATTCAAGCAGAAGTTCTCAGAGCAGAAGCTCCAACTAGTTGATTTTATTCATTTGTTTTGTTGTGCACTTACAGCATATTTCGCTAAGTTTTAGCTGCTATAAGTAAAATTTAAAAAAAAAGCAAAAAATAATATAGTGGTTTATAGAAGATATTGGAAGTTATCTTTGGATGTGTCCCAAGATATAGTGATGTAACGCATATTATCACTGAAATCCAGCAAATTTAGTTTTCTTTAAGGAGTGGAGGGGATTAAATTGAGAGACAGAAAATTTTCTTTTTAATTGAACTTGAACCTTCGCTGAAAGTTCTCCATTTAAGTTTATTCTCAAGGTTGTTGCTTTTTTTACGTTTTAATTATTTGCTCATTAGCTTCGTCTATTTGATTGCGCTGAGGCTATATTTCGATTTTGTTATGCTACACCTCTCTACGGATGACCGAACTTTTTAAACAATTCTCATCTTCGAACATTTCCGCTTTGATATGTTGTGGCTGAATTGTTCATTAATACGCACCATATACTTCTGCATTTGCTTAAGATAACCTGACACTCATGGGAATCTTTTGCTCATGGTATTAGATCTTATTTCATCTCATCTTTAGAATAGATCCGTTTTGTTGTTCCTGTACAGAATTCTGTTTCAATCATTAAAAAAACCACTTTTCAGTCCCACCTGTTTACATCCAGATACACTAAAGATTCTATGGCAGAATCATTGGTCTCCTTTGTAGCCATATGCGATGGTCTACTGCTAAGGATTTATCATACGGAATGTCCGGGTAATTGGGGTGATTTAAAATCCGGTCGTCTGAAATCTTGTTAATGATTGGATTTTCTCGTCCTAATTCTATCATCATTTTTTCACCGCAATGTATGGATTTCATTTCGTATGCATCATTACCACACTTTTATTGTTAATTATTATTATCAATACAAACACTTAAGCAAACGTATTACAAGAAAAGGTAGTGAATGCATTGACAGTCATAATGAAGATATCATTTCTACTTTTATATTTCAAATTCAAAACACCTAAATGGCATTTGATTTAAATACTAAGTTCATATGGAACAAGAAAAAAACGAAAAAGTTTAAGTAGATCAGAGTGGCAGTGTACTATGCTGGTTGCCTATTTCAAAAGTCCTCATAATTTCCCTAAAATCTCTTTCGTAAGGATTCATAAGGAACGAAGTAAATCATACTGTCTTTGTATTTCTCCATGTTTCAAAATCGTTTGTTAACATAGGTTAGGAAAGGGTTGATGAAAAATTTTTTCTAGTGTTGGGTATTTCTTGTTTTCGATCCTATTTCTAATTTCAAATTACAGCCTCAATTTAGCATTATAACCTAAGGCGTAAAAAATTTTAGTGCTGTAATTCTTCATATACAAAACTGTAACATAAAACAAACATCAATCTGAAACACTACAAGAGCAATCCACAAAAACTGAAAACCACTCTAAGAATATATAGAAAAATTTTTTATTCCATTGCGGCAAAAATAACGAAGAACCTCTACCATAAAATTGTGCAATCCCTCAAAATTTGTCCAGACTGTTACAATATCCTTGCAAGATTTGGATACGGATAACGCAACGAATAAAATCATTCAGTTTACCGAAAAAAGAAAGCGAATGAGAAGAACTAAAACATGAAAACGAATTATAAATTAAATCAGTGATGTGGGAGCTCTCATTCGACAGTGTTCCAAAAAATATTACGAAAGAAAAGCAATGAGGAAAAATGAAATTCTTCACTTCAACTAAGATTTTTTTCGTCGAAAAATGAAAGAATTTTATTTTTGAGATACCAAGCAAAAAAAACTACGAAATATCACTGTTATCAATAGTTTCAGGGTCAAGTCAACAAAAACTCGGTTCTTACAGTATCATGGGAAATACGAAAATGTATTCCGCGTGTCTCATATAAACTTTACTTCCAAAAATTTTTAAGGTATTGAGGGATAATAATGATTACGTTAAATTTTAAAAAAGGCGGTAATCGTTGCGATATTTAACAATCATTTGGTTTCGTAAGTTGCTTGCAAGATGCATCCAACCGAGTTGTTCCACAAGCTGAAAATGGAAGTAGTGGATAAAAAAAATTATTTTGATAGACTATAAATTTCTTACCTAATAAAGTTTTTTATCGTTACTATTTCTTTGCTATTAAAAGCAATTGCTCCTAGCTCATGATCAAAATTGAATCAATCTATTGATAGCTTACTTCTCATTACTTACTATGACATCGAAATGAATAAATTTTTTTTCTTCATTGTTGTAATTCCTTCATAATTATTGACGCGTCAATTGATATCTATTGGAAAAGAGAGAAAGAAAAGTAAAATTCTTTGAGACTGAAAGCTTCTTTCATGTTATATATGTTCCGCAGCGATCATATCCACAAAGACGGAAATCGCACTTAACGGAATAACTACCGGTTGGGTAAAACCTACAGACGCTGATCAATCACTTTTTATCACTAAAAAATATAATTCATTCGGGAAATCTTTCCACCTGTACAATGTCTCCATTAAGCAAATAAATTCATCATTTGATATTCTTTAAGTCTTATTCGCCTGTCAGGTAGGACATATATCTTAAGATGAAAACTTTCAGCGAAATTCATTTCTTATAAATGTAAAAGAGAATTATCATTACCTCAACAGCTGCCGCTTCCACAATCAAATTATTTGCAAAGTTTTTATCTTCACTTGCCTTTCTCAAATATTTCAAGGCTCGACCATAGTGAGCATGTGCAACAGCTTGCTTTGCAGATAATATCAAAACCTGTAAAACTTCCCGACTTCATATTAACTCACAAAACTTTTTTGAAAAGCTCATTTTTGCCTATTTTAATTGTTGTATCGGAAAATTATGTAAGACTAAATAAACCGAAACACAACATTATATTTAATTAAACATGCCTTATCACTTCGAATCAAAATTTTAATACCTACGATGATTATATTTACTGCAGAAAGTAACTATGAAAATCTAATTACCCAGCAGTTTTTCTAATCAAACACTATGCATTGACATAATATAGCTTCGCATATAAACTTATGTCCTCAAAATAAAAAGTCGTAAAAAAAATAGCCAAAATTTTTCTAGCTGCAACGACAACATCACCGACACCGTTAAACATTATCTTTGGGAATGGATTTACGACAAAAGCTTAAATAATTGAATTCGGCTGGCTGGTTTGCATATAAAACTCCGATAAAATAAGTAAAAACCTTTGGATCAGTCGCTTCCAACCATTTTAAAACTTCATAGTATGCAGTATCAATTTCTTTCAGTGTAACTTTTATCTGGAAAAGTGGTTATATGTTTTAGTGTTTTAGTGTACATTCCAGGATATCACAAACTCTTTTTTTTCTATTCGCAACATATGGAGAAGAATTTGACAGAGAAGTTATTACTATAACAAAATGGAACTTGTACAAGCAATGTATACAAAATATATAATTATGTTTTGAGATCAAAGCAAACATATACTGCCATAAGTAGTCCTCTATTTTCTAGTTAAAAGAGAGAAAAAGAAAGCAGCTCGCTTAGCAAAATTTTCCTCACCAATTTGTGATAAAGAAAGTCTCAGTGACAAAATAAAACTTACAGTTCTTCCTGCTTGATCCGATTCTGCAGTCTCAATACTTGTTGGTAACGTATCAGTTATTTGATCTGATTCTAGTGTTGCTAGCAAATCGCCTGCTCCACCAATGCCAACATCATCTGTATCTTTTTTCTTCGTATCTTCTATCAACTGCAATCTTTTTCTGTTAATCGCGAAACATTTCAGAATTAACAGTTGAAAACTAATTTACAAGCAGTTATTATTAAAGCTACCTACATTAATCAAAATATTTCACAATGGAATATCCTTCCTTAAATAAGTACCAAATTCGGTTCAGCATATAATATTCAGCATTAAATCATCTAAAAAAAGTATGGTGCTAAGTGCAAGACGCTCATAAAGTATATTTAACGGCTCTGTTTTGCCAAATGAACCGCATAATGGTGAAACATATTGGTGGAAACATTCACATAATTTCATGCTAACCGTTAAGTTATCACCGCGTGTTGAACGACCACTATTACAAAGCAGAGAAATCTGTTCACAGATTAAGAAGCTGGGAGAATAGCCCATTAATTCTTTAAAGTAATACGTCATCCGACAAACGTATTACCGAATAAAAAATCTATTGGTGAAATTAAATTCTAATTTTGTGGGAGTATTAAAATAACAATAACATTAATATTATCCTCCAATTAAATTACTGGAAAAAGAATATAGCATAACATCTTTTACAAATCCGGCCATAAGATGTAACTAGTAATGCATCTTCATTTCTTTTCTAACTAAAATTTTTTGGAAATCATTTGCAAGAGACCTGAAAATCGCTGATTGATGATCTTTTAGTAAGCTCTCCACTTGTTGGGGATGTTTTCTCAGTCTTTAAAGTGACATCGACGTTCAAACCATGCCGAAATGCCTTTGGTATTTCCTGAGTACTAATTGCCAAATGTTCATCAACTAATGCATCTACTTTGATGACTAAGGCATCGATAATGGCGTTCTTACGATTTTCCATATCTCTGAAGCAGGTTATGATTTAAAGAGAGTTCCCATTCATATCATCTATCAAATTAGAAGAGAAGTGAATCCATCAACAGATTTGATAATGCATGAAGATGTAAAAAACGCATGAAAGTTGAGCATAAATTCTAGAAGCTTGGTTATTTATAAACGATTTAAAAGAAAACAACTAACGTCCTGATGATGATATCACTTTCACTATTCTCATGTTTAGAGCCCAAGTATTTCAACACTTCATCCGGTTTGGCTGCATCTAGAATTGCGTCTGCCAATTCCAGAATTCGGCTATGATTTTCTGGATTATACTGCAATCGATTAAAAATGTAAAGACTTTTTAAACGAACAGATTAAATCTTATAGATCTTGCCACCAATAATAGATGACGAACAATATTTGCCATTCAGAATGACTGTAGTTGCCATCACAAATAATAATAGTTTAAAAGAATGAAATCTCAAAATATATAAATGAATAAAAAATATTTTAGAACTAAAATAATACCTTACTGTCGAACAAACGCTTTAGCTGCGTTTGCATGATTCTCAAATTTTTTGGGTTCTCGGCAATTAAATGATCATATAAATCATTTGCATACACAACATCTTGTAATTTTCCTAGCCATTGTACATAAAATTCACGCAGTGCTTCTGTAAAATTAAAATATTCGATTTAAAATAAATAAAAATCATTTATATCTTAACAAGCATTTATTTACGCAATCCCATTCTACTATGCTAGCCTAGCTTAATTCGCATGAAGTTAGCCTGAACTATCTTGTTGCACCCTCCATATATATTGACAGGTAGGGCCATTTTATTTGAATGTTATCCATATAGCTAATAAAACCATTTATAGTTAAATTTTACTATACTTGAGTAAAAGTAAATCCTTCGAAATCAATAAAAACCATATCAATACCATTCATAGCTTGCATAGAATCAGGTGCAAAATCTTCCTTCTTTTTTATTAAAGCAACTGATGAAACGGCTTTGGTCTGCTTGCGACTCCATTCCGAAAATGTATATATTACTTGATACTGCACATGACTTCGAGCTATTTCCATATCTGATAAACAAAGCGCTCCAGTTAAATAGCAACCGGGCCAACCAAATTTCGGAAGTCTGAAGCAAGTTTGTTTTTATAAGCATCAGAGAAAACATGTTCGGTTGCACATTTAGACACAAAAAAAAAACACGAAAAAAGACCAAAACAACATACTTATCTTCCGGAATTGGACCAATGTATACGACACCAACTTCACCTGGTTTCATTTTCCTCGTGCCGAATTTTTTCCCTTCCCCTTTTACAGCACCTGAAACTAGGAATAACTCGTTTCACTCTTTATTGGAGATAAGAGCAAATATTAGGATAGGCATTTCTAATCCTTAATTTGCGAATCTAAGGTTACCAGTTTTGTAAAGAAGGGAGATAAATACTTTGATTATGTAAAAAGTGCGTAAAGATTGTCATACGGCCTCATACGCCCGAAGAGAACAGTTCTTACTTTCTTTATTTATAAAATTTGCTTAAAACAAAGCGGTGACGAAAAAATTAGAGATTTAATATATTCTGAAAAAGTTACCTGGCAAGAAACTATAATCAGGACAAAAAATAGCATTTTATATTCTCACGATATTTTACCAAATTTCACACGGCAATTATATCAGATTTCATCTGAGTTTTGTTGTGGGAAAAACTTAAAGAAATTTGAATTATATTAAAATGCACAAGGAAAAAAAGAACACACTTTCGTAATCTGAAAAACAATCCAAACTGATCGCTGACGGAAGCTTCAGCTTTAAAATTAAGACCGTTTCACGGTATTTCTCTAGTAGCGACGCATCTTCATGCCTAATCTGTACACGAATACGATACTCGCCTTTCTCCAATTTCAGAGTATACTGAAATACATAAATTCTCATAAAAAAGCACACTATTAATATTCATATGTTTGAATAATTATTTCCAATTGATCATCCAACTATCGAATAGAAACTAAAAATTGGAAAAATAATTGTATGTCCGAACAGATAATGCATGCATCTCTAAATATTTTACATTAAAATACGAATAATCTTAATCAATATGTTAAAATGCTAATTATTAGAAATAGCCAACTGTAGCTACTCCAGGCTTCATATTTAAACTTCAATTTTATTCAGAACTTAATCATTTAATATTGCATATATTCGACTTTTTCTCTGACCACCGAATGAAAATGTTTTTTCTTTGAGATATCTAATGGATGTTTCTGTCGCTAATAGATTTATGAAGTTTGATCGACTGATATTTCATTTTATCATATCTCACCGTTTTTTATTGAAATTATGAATAATAAAAAAAAACCCGGTCTGGATATGGAGCACTGCTTCCAATATATTGCTTTGTTGAAGAGAAAATCATAATATGTACATCATCAAATGCACTTTCATAGAGGTAGTCGGTTATGCCAGGCAATTCAACATATGCATCGGTTGCTTTTTGTACTAGAAAAAAACATCTCGTTCTTACTGTTAGTTTCAACATAAACATTTTTAAAACTAGTCAACAAAATACGCTTTCTTCCGTCTTCTCGATTCTACATGAAGTAGTCAAATTAATTGATAAAATTAACCGAATTACAAAGTCAACTAGCAGATAACCTAAAAAAAAAATGGTTGATGGAAAAATATTCCAGCTTTCGCTCAAGAAACACAAATTTGTTCTGTAGAAAGTGAGCCAATATATGAGAGAGATCAATAAAAGATTCATAAGTAATTTTCCACAATGTCATTTGAGAAATCCACTCAGAAATCACACTATTCTGATAAAACTACTCATGAAACTTTCAGATCTGGTTCTATTTAAGGAATCTTGAACTTCTTTTAAAAGATAAAGATACAAACAAATTGAGTTTAGGAAGAAACTAACAAGAGAAGTTATAAGTGAGAAGCAAACGAAAAATTTGCAGGTCGGTGAAGAAGAGATCACGCGGTCCAAGAGGTTGCACTTTTGCTTCTGCTGGCCGAAATGGTTGACAAATATAACGGAATGTTATGGCCGGTCGCACATCTTCAAACCTCATCATCGAATTACATACGGTAAAATGGAATGGTGTTTCGGTTGAAAACTAAAAAGAATGAGGTCTTCAATGAAATCGTAATACAATTAAAATCACTGCAACTCAGTTATACTTATGATTTTTTTGTATTTATAAAATCGACTGGTGTCGTAAGCTATATAAAAACACAGTTACTCCCTCCAGATAATCACATTGAAGCTTACAGTTATTAGGTCATGATCATACCATGTTTAATACAGTAGGCGAAGGGACGGCACCATGAAATACTAATTCAGTTTCCAACATCGCTTCACCCAAATTAGACCACCATTTCGTTATGCATAACTCCATAGTACGCCCGCCGCGTAACGCGACAGCAAATTGCTCTTCTTGATTTTGTTCTAGTGATACTGTCTAAAAAGGATTTAAAATCTGATCATCATATTATCCAATTTCTTACTAAGAAGAAGTCATAGAAATACGCAGATACCTCTAGAAAACGTAACAAGCAGACAGTCAATTAAAGTTCAAATAACAAACAAGTTATTCTTTTTCTTTCATGCTGATAAAATATCTATAAACGACAATTCAGGCATAAATCTGAAATAACAGTTGAACTTACATTAAGAGTAGTATAAGCTAAAATGTGCAGAAATCGGTATCCTAATGAAGCTAAAAGACTTTAAGTTAGAAGCTTCTTACTTTATGAAATTCAGTTGAACGGTATGCTGTATCCGGTAAAAGTTGAACAATGTGGGCAACGTATTTTGCTTGCAGTTGAGTTCCACAGGATGTCAACTTCAAACCTGAACAAAAGCTTGGAGAAGTTAAAGCTAACTAAAATATTACAAAAAAATAGTATGCGTAAAAAAAGGAATTTATAAAGAAGAAAAAAGAAATGCAAATACCACATAGATATATGCAAAATATAATCACTAAAAAACAAAGAGAAGAAATTGCTTACAAGCCCAATCGGCACCTTCGGGTACATGAATAAAAAGTCGTTCCGGACGAGCAGGCTTGCACTGTAACTTTCGTCTTATCGTATGCCGCGAATTATCATCTAAGCTTAACGGAACAATTACAGTTATTGGTATACGGAATAAGGGACCAAGTGAAATGTTTTCCGAATCATAAGCACATATCTGCAAATATAACGATATTAAAACATGAAGAACTGAAATGACATTACAAGACGGATTTACTAGGAACAAAAAACAACGTCCATATTCAGATACGTCCAGAATCCAGAATACGACTATATTATTCATGTTTCTGGGAAACATCGCATTATTATTGGACGGCGGTATTATCTTTCTTAAATGCTATCTTGCTGTTGCCCGTAATATAGAGGTTTCGGTAATTATATTAAATTAAAAATTATCAACTGACTTCAGTGAAATGAGCAACACCGGCTTCAAGGCCAACCGGGTCCAATGATATGGTGAATTCTCGTTCCTGATGCATTAATGTAAACTGTTTTGGACATTTGATATAAGACGCATCACATGTTAATACTAAATGCTTTTCGAATGCTATTTTTGCATCATTATCTGGAAAAAAATTATAGAAATGGAAGAGTTTGATGCAGGAGTACTATTGATAATAACATAAAAATTCCTTTGCTTGCAATACAAGGAAGTTATCCATATGACCGGAACGTCAAATAATACTGCGTAACCTAATGATATGGTACAACAGATGAAACAATTACCAATATAACTCAGTTTATATCATTCAAAATATTAACTTATACGAAAGTAAAATAACTAAATACTGTAACATGGTCAGAAACAAACAAAAATTTTAACTATTAAAAACACTGATAACAATCGCAATTTCATTTTAGAATAAACTGGAATTAAACCAGTGGTATTAGACTATCAGAAAATAAATGATCAGAAATCCTGTTTCAAACGAATAAATAATAAGTAAAAATAAATACCAGACCTGATTTCGGCTTGAATTTTGGCTGCACAGCGATAACATATGTATTAATACAAGATGTCTGATATCGTTCACGTAAGTAAATTCCACGTGCACTTATACCGTTAATTCTAATTTTGAAATGGGTGAGTAGAGGTGAAATTAATAAGTAATGTTCCTGCATGAAATTGTACGCTTCATCTACCTGTGGCAAAATAAGTCGAATCATAAAAGATCAATTGATGCATCTTGAATAGAATATTACTTCCGCATATATAAAAATATCATCTAATACCAAGTACTACAGACTTCTCTATCATACTACGGAAGTCGTTCTTATATAGAGTGTTTAATTCTTACCGCTTACAAAGCAAATTCTCACAAATTTTTTCGAAAAAAGAAAGCAACCTGCAACAGTCCACTACCGACAGCAAAACGACTTTGATCTTTTGGTAACCGGGCAGTATTTTCCAAAGCTAATCGAATTAGATAAGGACCCCATGAAATGTTCTGTGCCTTCAAAGCGCTAAGCAAACATGCTAGAAAGCATGAAATATTAAGTATTTCATAAACGAAATAAACGTGAAGATGTGAAAAAGAGAAAAAAACACGAGATTAATGAGCAGAATCGCTAAACCTTCTTAACTAACTCCAATCACTTAGATCACTACGAATGCTTCAGCAACGCATTGCACAAAGATAGAACACAACATCTTACAAAACTAAAATACATTCCATCAAAAATGTATTGAACTTCATACCCAAATCGCTAATGAACTTAAAGTTAATACTCACCGACAGTTCCTGTAACATTTGGTGAACTCATCGAAGTACCGTTCATTAGTTGGCCTGCTTTCAGCGCAAACTTAGGCACACTTGTAATAGCTGCACCTGGACCACAAATTGATACACCTAATGCTCCATCAGCACTGAATATATTTTAGGATATATTTAATTTCCCATTCATCTGTGATCATTCAAAAACTTCGTTTATGACTACTTCCTTATCTTTATTAGTAAAACCTTTTTCATTATTTCTTATTTTAACTCTTCATACTTGGTTATTCATTTTTCCAATAAATTTTTAATTTTAATTCACTTCATTTCTTTCTAACATTTGTTTCTTTCCTTGTTTATCTAATGCTTGCGCGTTTCTAAATTTCTAAATAAATTATGAGTATTTCGCTCCTGTTAACAGGTAGAGTTTTTGAGAAATCTGGAAAATTTTCTAACTGATTTTCATTTAGAAAGGTAATATTATCTTACGTTGGGCCTCTGGATGACCACGGATACAGTGTGAGAGGTAACTTATCAAGCATACTATACATTGCTTCCATCATTGTTGGCGAAAGATATGCACCAACTCCTGCAGAAAAAGTAGAAAATGAAGGAAGAATTCGACAAATTATTCAAATTCTACAAGTCTGAGGGTTTACTAAATTCAAAAATAGGAACAAAATCAAACCGATAACTGAAGTAGTAGTTGTGCCGGGGCATCCACCGGTTGATAAAGCTGGGCCACAATTTCCTGCTGACGAAAAAAATAATATCCCATAACGCCTTACTACTCTATCTACAGCCTTGATAATACGACTGAAAAAAACATTAAGAAAAATGTACAAAATACATATATATACATGCATACATCACTCACAAAATCAAATTCACGGAGGATAAACTAGCGACAAAAAACAAAATAAATACGACAAATTACTCACCCCGAATTCGGGAAGTTTGTCGCTTCACCGTAGGAGTAATTGATGAGATGTACACCCATATCAGCACAGCGACTCAGCTGAAAATTTTCGAAAAATTCAACCTTTGATTAACCGGAAATGCGGTACAAAAAGTAATAACTTACAGCCCGGGTAAGTGCAGTACCCGTTTCCATACTTTTCAGACGATGATCACCGATGCATAGAGAAACAATTTGAGCTCCAGGAGCCAGCCCAGATTTTTCCGGTTCCTAAAAGAAATGATTTCTTTTTTAAAGGATATAGTTAAAAAGTTTCTCCACGGAAAGTATCTTTATGGGAATAAAAGTCACATTCATTAAGAATAATTTTGTTCATTAGCAAACTAACGTTAGGAAAGTAAGCAGCAGCGATGTTTGCAACGTGAGATCCATGCGTACCGGAAGGGACACATATTTCCAACAAATTACCATTGTCATGTATAGTAATACAGAATGTCAGCATATCTATAAAATTGAAGTCATGTAATACACTATATATCATCAAGGCACCTAACTCGCTACTCGATTTTGCATGTTTCTTTTCATTCAACATTTTATTCTTTTGTTATATCAAAGGCTATCACATTCATTTGATCAGATTTACTTTAATTAAGTTTTATTATTTATAATTCTGAATAAAAATCATTCTTCCGACAAGAAATAGTAAACTTTTATGTCAATATTGCCATAAATAAAACACCGGACATTGTTTGCCGAATATCTACTACTTGGCGACATAAGTAAGGAGACAATTTTTGGTAAATCACACGTATTAATTCTGCTTTGAACAATATCTGTTATGTGCTTATCCACCGAAAAAGTCAATCTGGTATGTGCTTATCCACCGAAAAAGTCAAATAGAATTAAAGCTAAATACGTATCAACGTATAAAAAAACACAATGAAGAACGTCAAATTATATTGTACCCGTAATGTTAAAGTAATAATATGTTCCTGAAATGAATGAAAATAAATTACCATTGTCGGAGAGCTTGTAATATTTACCGCTTTCACGGTAACTGCTGAGTAGAGGTGCTAAGCTTAAACGCCCACGATATGAAGTATCTATACAAGCTCTAAAAAGCATTGAAGATAATTATCGAGTCAATATTACATCCATAATTGGTGAGGTCGGAATCAATTTTTAACTTTCTTAGCTTAATAATTCCGACTGATTTATAGCAGTGAAGTTTATATGTACAACATCACTGCACCTTACCAATCAACAACACCATCTAATTCCGCTTTTTGTATATGGATAGCTGAGTAATTACAAGGAGTAACATTTTTATTAATAATACCTGAATTTCGTGCCATCATGAAAAACGATGCAGTCAGCAATCGGTCCTGGATCATCCATTTTGTCCAAACTTTTTAAAATTTCTACCTGACTCGAAAGTTCTTCTCTATCTTCCTTATCACTCTGAAACGCACTATAACTACTGCAATCCAGGGTACAACTTCTCAATCTTCCAATAACATGCCCTTAATTTTATCTTGATTCATAATTTAGTTCAAGCTATTGCTTAATTTAGTTCTTGCAGAAAGACTGCCAAATCTCTTTACAGCCGTCTATTTCGTTTTACTTATGCACCAATGCTCCATTTTCTACCATTATATGAGGGAATGACTAAATGACCTTATTATCAAAGAAATTTTGGCTCCGTACCGAATTACTTTTCCAATTCTCATTATTAATCCTACCACAATAAGCGTATAACTTCTCATCATTAACTTTCTTATTAAATAGATCCGATTCCTCGTTATTAACTAGTTCTTACTTATTACATTCAACTATTTAAAAAAATACAATTTGAAACCATCAAATCAGTTTAAAAAATGAAATGTTGTTTTAATAAATATCGAAAAAATTTTTCAATCATTTCAAAAAATCTGCGAAATTCGAAAAAATTTTCCTTTTAACGTTATTTGATATTAAGACTATATCCTACCATTTTATCGGACGTTCCACCGATTGCTTCTTCGTGCGCAACGAGCTGACGCATTGCATCAGCCATTGCCAATTTTTGCCCGCTATTAAAAAGACTCTCCTTCCTTTCTTTCTGTAAACAAATAAGATTGATGTAATATTAAAAAAATGTCAACTAACTTTTGATCCTAATGATTTAGTGAAAATGAATTTTTATCAGCGTAATACATCATCAAGGAGATAGAAGTGAATAAAGGGAAAGAAGATGCAGATATTATGTTAAATTTTGCCTATTTATAATTCAACAAACTTCGTAAAAAAATAATTCAACAAAATTATATATAATTCAACAAAAAAAAATAACAAAATTTCATCAAACTAATATTTGCCATAACTAAAAAAGCACGTTAATTGAAAAACTGAAAACAAGCTGAGATTAAATCTTGTCAAAAATAATATTTTACCTTTATTCTTTCTAACAAATTTTTATTGTACAATTCATAAATTGGCTTTATTCCTATATGATATTTACCACTTGGATTAACCCAGGCTTCAGGAATCTGAAATCTGACGAAATTATAATTACTTCGAAACAAGTCAAAAAAAGTCCATGAAGATCTCTTGAAATTGAAATACTCATTTATCAGCCCCGACTCATCTCCAAAACCTACGATCCTCACTTACTATTATATTTAGAAGCTGTAACCTTTAGCTTTCTTCCTGTAAGTCCGATAACATAACCATCAGTCGCTGTACGCACTGTCGATGTATCTACGTCGCCGGCTCCTGTACAATCTATTACATCTATCACCTTTTGCAGTCCATGACTCGTTACCTAATATAATCAGTACCATGTTTTTTAAATGATATTTCATGACAAATCTAAAATCATTGCTTCATGCTGAAATTAGTAAAGATCTAAAATAATTTTATGCCAAAATTAATTGACTTTAACTTAAGATGAAAAAATTTGATAATTTAATTTTAAAACAAAAATATCTCACCTATTTTGCAATAAAAACTGAGAAACTTCGACAATGATACCTGTAATCCAGGAAGTGATGGATCTATGCCTGTGTCCAATATACCAATAATAATATTCCTACCATCGTATTCTGGATATTTCGTTAAGAACTGTTCCTTAATTTTTTCAGTTTGTTAATTTTCTCCACTTTTTCCTTTGACTATTAGCAGATTCAGGAATTTCATCTTTTTAAATTGTTGCATAATTCAACTAATACAACATCAAAAGGTCTAAAACTCTGCTAAAGTTGACTAGCATCGTTTTGATTCAAGAATGATTATCCAAACAATTTTTAAGTAATGAACAAGCAGTTCTCTCTCTCCATAT